GCCCCCGCGGGGCGAGCGCGGCGAGGAAGGCGGACGAGGCGGCCCCGTCTCCTCACGTCCGCCCTGCGATGGCAGAAGGCAGCTGCAGGTGCTCAGAGCTGCGGGCTGCCAACGCAAGTTGGGAAGCGGCGACCGCGCGGCCCTTGTTGGTTGCTAAACCCTGCGGAGGGGCAGCTCCCCAGAAAACCTCCGCGCCGGCCTCTGCGCGCACTGATCAGGAGGCCGCCGCTGGGGAGGGTGCTGCACTGTGGGGGCATGAGGCACTTGCCACTTTCTTCCATTTTTGGGGGCCTGGAGACCCTCTGAAAAGGAAGGGGGAGGGAAAAGTCTCCCTTCCCAAATAGCAACTGCCCCTGTTGCTGCATTCTCCTTGGAGAGGACTTATATTTCCTGGGGGCCATCGTTCCCCCTTACCTTATCATGCTTCTTGGCTGGCTTAAAAATACCGAAGAAAGAAGCCAGCCTATGCCTTGTGCTAGCTAGGCCTGTTGCTGTCTGTTTATACAGCCCTTTCCCTCCCTCTTAGCACTTGGCATTTTTTGTTGGACATGTTTTAATTCCTTGCACCCCTCCTTGTTGGAGAGCTGGAAACGGGTGCTTGCATTTGCAGCCACCTCCTTGGCAGGAGGTTCCTCCTAGGTTAAGGCGCAGCCATCAAAGATGAGGGCCCTTCTGTGCCTGTTGCTCGAGACGTGCTGAAGGATGCGTTGGTGAGAGTGAAGGCAGGTTGGCCAAGGTTCGTGCTGTGGCGGCATCTTCAAAATAGCGACCCAAGTTTGTAATTTGTGTGCAGCTCCCTCATGGGTTTTAATGCTCCTTATCTTCCTCCTCTGAGCAAGTTTCATGCTCTGGATAGAGAAATCGGGGCGTTCTGGTAATTGGGTAACGTCCTGGGAGATGGGGGTGCCAGGAAATGTCTCGTGTGAAGCGCTAGGCCGGTTGTTTCTGACAGAGCTGGGCAGCCATCTGTCTTGTGGCTGCTGTGGGATGGAAAGGTAATAAATTCAGTCCTGATCCGTGTTGAACTTTGTAAAATTCTCCAGAGG